TCTGGTTAATCCCATCATTGGTCCCAAAATGTCACTGTGCAGCTGCAGCACAGTGCTGCATCAGTGGGTCACAGGGTATGAGCCAGGGTGAATGGAAGAGGCGAGGTGGACCAGACAGCCTCTCTGAGGAGTGGGGAGCCAGGGACTAATGCGAGAGGGGCTGCCCAACGTACTTCACAGCAACCCTGTGAGGTGGGAGCCAAGCCTGGTGTCCAGACACAAACACCACTTGCCCTGTGCTCTGGAGCTTTCCAAACAGGGCCAAGTCCTGTGCTTCTGCAACTGCACCAGGGAGGCTCAAAATCCGCTTGGCTGAGTTTGGGGGTGGGGGGGCGGGGAGTGAAATGCCACGGAAACATCTCAAAACTAGGAGGTGCAGCTCAGAGGAAGGGACCTGAGCCCTCGAGTGAGATAGCTGTCCCATCCGTGTCTTTCTCACCCACCTTGCACAGCCAGGAAGAGGAGGGCTTTACCTGAATCAAGTGTGCAACCACAGCCCTGCCCTGGGGTGGGCCGCCGTCCAGGTAGGACCCTCCCCACTAGCTACAGCACCCTCTGACCAGCCCTCTACCCACCTTCTCTGGATGCGGCTTCCCTGGGCCTACTTCCTCGAAGGCACAATTCCTCCTGGGACACTTCCCCAACAGGCCCCTGTGCACACTTAGCCTTCCCCAGCCCAGATTTTCAACCCTGAGCCCAGAAAGAATGTGAACTGCTGTTATCACAGTCCTGTGAGCGCCTGGCAACCTGCCCTACAGAGGCGGATCCACCGTCAAGGAGGTGTCCTTACATCCACCCACCAGCGCTGGCCGAGAGGCTGTGCTGAGCCAGGGCCTGGGACACACCAGCAAGCAGGACAGACGAAGCCCCGTTTCCACAGTGCTTCCCTCCCAGAGGTGCAGATGGACACAGCAATCAGGGAGATAATTTCAGAAAGCGATGAGTGAAGCTGGGAGATGTGCTGAGACCGTGACTGGGGTGGAGGTGGCTCAGCTGTAGTGATCAGTGCGGCCTCACTGAGGAGGCAGCAGCTAAGCCGAGACCTGAGTGACAGAGAAGACACAAAGGGACTGAGGCCCCGTTTCCACAGTGCTTCCCTCCCAGAGGTGCAGACGGACACAGCAATCAGGGAGATAATTTCAGAAAGCGATGAGTGAAGCTGGGAGATGTGCTGAGACTGTGACTGGGGTGGAGGTGGCTCAGCTGTAGTGATCAGTGTGGCCTCACTGAGGAGGCAGCAGCTAAGCCGAGACCTGAGTGACAGAGAAGACACAAAGGGACAGAGAATGGTATTCCAGGCAGAGGGAACAGAGGCAAAGGCCTGGAGGTGGGAAGGAGCATGGCTTCTTCCAAGAGGGGCCAGTGTGGCTGCTGACTGCAAGTCCAGAGGCCTGGCTTCTAGTCCACTTTCCCATCTGTAAAATGGGCCAGCAGATCTCTCTGCAGCGTTGCAAGGATCCGATGCATAATGCACATCACAGTCCGGCCTCCACCACTCCTCCGTCACTACTGCCTGCCCCCATGAGCCGGGGTGGCAGAGACCCCAGCCCACACCATGTCAGGGAGCAGCCTTGCCCAGCGCCCCAACCTGACAGAGCACACCTACACACCGCAGGTCTCCTGTCAGCCTGTCCCCAGTAAGTTTTTTAAAATTAAGATGCAACGATCATCACACAGCCAGCTTCCCCCTCCAGCGATGGGTTAAAATGAACTCCAGACGACTGGATTAGACTTTGAAGGTGGCGGTGTAGATAATGAACACGGAGGATGCAGTGTTGACACGGGCCCTGGTGAGCGACATTATGATTTAACAGGCCTCACTTCTGCCTCCGCTGGGATCAAGGAGCTGAACGAGCGGTTGGCGGGCAAGCGTAAAACCCAGAGACAGACTGCGGGTGCCAGTCAGGTCTGCCAGCAAGGTTGGGGCAGCCAAGCAGGGACCAGCTGGGCAAGGGGCAGAGTATGGGCCAAGTGAGCCTCAGGGAGACTGTCCCCCACTCAGAGGCCCTGTCCCCCGGGAAACTGTCCCCCCACGCATTGTCCCCCACCGCACCGGGCTGTCTCTGGCTGGGGCTAGACTAATGATGCTTTCTTCTGCCTGGAATATCTGCTTCCCCTCTTCCATCACCTGTCACAGACCCGGTCACCTGCCCAGCCTAGCTCAGGGATCCTGACCTCCAGCTGGGTCTGGCACCCCTCCCGCCTCCCCTGGATTCCCGCAGACCTGAGCTTACCCCCTCCCAGGTTTGACAGTCCCAGGCAGGTCTGTCTCTCCAGACTGGACTCCGAGCTCCTGAAGAGCTGAGACCAAGTCTCACTCATTTCCATCCCTCCAGCACCTTGCACAGAGGGCCTGGAAATGGGAGATGCTCAGTACACCCATCCGTCCGTCCGTACATCACAACTATTTACTGAGGAGCACCTGCCTGTGTGCTGCCAATGAGCTAGACAGTGGGGAAATAAAGATAAACGAGGCACGATCCTTGGCCTGGAAAACGTGTTCTTGGAAAAAGCAGGCTCGTAACCAAATGGGAGTTCCCCAGAGTTACATCCAACGGGGACAGAAAACTGCAGAGACCAATGCAGTCCAAAGGGAATGGAGCTTTCTGCCTACCAAGGCAGCCGTCACTGCGGTTAACACTCAGGATGCCTGTGCTCAAATCCTGACTCCGACTCTTCCTAGCTCTGTGACCTCGGGCAGCTCTCGTAACCTCTCTGTGCCTCCGTTTCCTCATCTGTACAGTGGAAAGGATAATAGCACTCATCTCATAGGGTGGTTTGGGCATTAAGTGAGATTATACATATAAAGTGCTTAAACCCATGCCTGGTCCAAACTAAGCACCCAGTATATGATGGTTACTATGACTTCCTGGGGGTGGGAGAAATCAGGAGAAGCTCCTTAGAGTTAACTCAGTCCCTAGATTTACACCCTATGTCTTCACATCAGGCCTGGGCCATGCCAGCAGCCCCCTCAGCCAACAATACACTCCTGGGTCTCCTTGCTTGGAGCTCGGAATAGCTCTAAGAATCTCAAATCCCCAGAGGGGGGTTTCTCAAGCCTGGGGGAGATTCTGGAAAGTCCTCCCTCTGAAGTGAGGCATTCTGCTGCAGCATTGCTTGCTGAGGCACAGCCCTGCAGGTGCTAAGCCCTAGGCACACACACCAGACCACAGAGAGTGACAGCAGCCCAGTCTCCAGCCAGGCCTGGCTAGCCGTGCAGTGGGCGCCAAGGCAAGTGTGGATTCAGCCAGCCCAGGAGCGGCAGCCAGACGGAGCCATTTCCAGAGCCCCAGCACTAAGGTGGGGCCAGTTTCCTCAGGCAGCGGGAGCGTGGCTTTATTAAATATGCATGGCGATCACCTTGTTACTGTGCCGAATGATTGTGTGTGCTGAAGGCGAGCTGCCTGCACCACGCTGCGCACAGAAACTTTTCAATTTCCCTGGCTGCGCACAGGGGTGCGTGCTCCCTCTGGCCCCCGCTGCGGAGGATCCCTGGCCACCCTTTCCCTCCATCCTGCCTCCCCCCAACCAGCAGCCCTCCTGGTGCCCTCAGAGGTGTGCAAAGCAGGTGAAAGGCCCTATTGATCCTCTTCTTAAGAGCAGCTGGTCCAGAACTAATCTTAAATCGTCGCAGCCTCGCACTGGAGCCTGGTGGCTGCGGGGGCCCCAGGGATGGTGGCACCAGAGCTGAGCCGCGTGGGCCTGAGCAGGACTGCACTGCGGCTGGCAAGGGGTAAATACTGGTGAGAACAGGGCAGGGCCCGACCCAGACCCCTGTCCTGGCCTTCGTCTGTCTGTCTCATGCTCCTAGGACAGCTGTTAGCAGGAAGAAGCCTTTCTTCCAGTGAAGCAAGAAGGCCCGCAATGCACGCGCACCCAACACCCACTGACAACACCAACCCGAAGGGAGCCGCCTGATTTTCCAAATAAGCTACATAAACAGCAGTGAGAATTTTGGTTATGCAAATAATTACAAGGTTAACTAATGCTCGTCCAGCACTCGCGATGTGCCAGGCACTGTGTGAGGCAGCCCTTCTTCATAAATGTTCTCTTTCAGTCCTCCTGGTAACTCTACATAGCACTATTGTCATCCCATTTTACAGATGACTAACTGAGGCCCAGGGAGGCTCAGTGACTTGTCCAAGTTTGTGTGGCTTGGCAGGGGCAGAGCCGGGGTCCCACTGGAAGCAGCCTGCTCTCAACCTGCACCCCTCCAAGGGGCTGAAGTACGCAGCCGACCTGAGGTGGACATGGCCGGGACAGGGGTCGGAGCTGCTGCCGGGGATGGTGCCTCCCCATTCCTCCCCTTCCAGAAAGTCTCAAGTGCTCCTGGGCCACTAGGAGAGGCTGAGAAAGGCCACATGGGGGCCCAGCTTTAGCCAGCTCTGGGCCCCAAGGCCTGCTGCTCACACCCCCTCCCCAATAGCCATCAGCCACATCTCTGCTCCCAGAAGCCTCTGCCTGTGGGGTGGTGAGGCAGGGTGGGCACTGCTGTCATTCATCAACAGGAACAGGCCTAGGCCAAGCCAGGAACAGGCCCCCAGGACCAGGCTCTCATCCTGGGGACTGAGGCATGGCAATCTCTTCCTCCACGTGTTTAAAGAGCCCAGCCTCCAGGATGGCGGTGTCCATGCTGGCCACACCCCCAGCAAAGCTAGGACTCATGGGTATAAGTCCTGGGTACCAATCCAAGGACAGGGACTCCAGCCCCACCCCCACAAGCAGCAGCAGACACAACTCAGCATCCAGATCACAACCCAGGGCAGCGGGACCCTTCCTTCCACTCACAGCAGCCCTGGGGATATGTGTTGCAGACAGAGGTCAGGGCCCAGCAGGGGTCTTGGGCACCCTCTGCTTCCCACAAACTATCAAGTCAATCCCCAAGACACAGCTAGGAGCCAAGAGTAGTGTCAGGGAGGGCGTGGGAAGGGTCAGCAAACTTGAGCCAGGCAGGTGGCCCCATGGACCAGGGGCCATGAGCCACGAGGTACAGCCAGTACCTGAGTCTGCAAGGTGGTGGCGTCCAGGACGGTGACAAGGGGCCCACAACTGGCCCACACGGCATCTTCCAGGCTCAGCAGAGTGCGGACAGGACCCGGCCCCACAGTCACACACATAGGAGGGCTCTCCAGGTCCCACAGGACTCCTCCTGGAGGGAGAGGAAGGAGGCAGGTCAGGGGCGGGAAGGGGCACACAGGTCAGGGCTGACAGCTCCCCGGGCCCTCAGGACCACGGCCAGCAGCAGTGGGCCCAGTGGGCTCCACACGCACCTTTCTATGGCCCTTCTTCCTTTTTTTCTGTCTGGGATGGTGGCTGTTCCCATCTGCCTCTGACTCCTGCCATTTATGTTCCACGCTTCCAGGACCACACTCTCAAATTCATCTTCCCTCCCTCCCTCCTTCCCTTCCTTTCTTCCTTCTTTCTCCCTCCCCTTCCCTGCCTCTCTCTCTCCTTCCCTCTCTCTCTCACTCATTCCATACAGACTTAGTAAGCACCTACGCCAACCAGGTCATGTGCAGGTACCAGGAAGACAGAAATGAATCAGACACAGGCCTTGCTCTCAAGGAAAGCCTGCTGGTCCGAGACACCAAGAGGTTACTCAATAGGTACAATACCCTGTGCTGAGGGCAAATGAGCAGACATGCAACGGGCCTGGAGGACTGCTAAGATGGGAGGAACCACCTCTGCACAGGGGGAAACCCAGGGAGGCCTCTCAGAAGAGGCAGCACCCACAATTGGCCCTGCCAGGAAGGCAGCGTGAGACCTGGATCCAGGAAGAAAGTGTGCTGGGCCCAGAGTCAAGAGACTTGGAGTCTGGCCCTGGTTCTACTACCAACTTGCTAAGGACCTTGAGTGCTTCTCTCCCCTTCTCAAGGCCTCAGTTTCCCCAGATGTAAAATGGGACAGGGTGGTGTTAACAAGATTGTCTCTGAGGACGTTTCTTGCACAGCTTATCTAGACGGAATCTTGACTTCTCATGGATCTTGCCTATTCCTAGGGGACTGTCAACTTTACCGAGATCTCTGATCTCTTTGCTAAGATTTCTTCCTCCCCCCAGTGACACCACTGCCTCCAGATACAGGAGGAATTTCTGGGAGGCAGTCACTCCCTAGTCTGCCATCCCTGACTGAGGGACCTGGCCGGGCACTAAATGAGGTTCTCCCCTCTCCCCCAGGGATGCTGAGATCACCCAACATCCATTTTCCATGACATCTAAGCACTGTCTATTGAGATTGGTTTTCCTCTGGTCACACCCAATGCCCCACAGAAGCCCACGGGCTGCTTTGTCTTGTCAGGAGGCCAGGTGAGAAAGAGGGCAGAGGAGGAAGCTGGGGCCCAACCTAGGGCAGCCTGGGTGTGGCACACCCTGGAGAGACAGGCAGCAGTGGCTGGGGTCTGGGAGGCAGGATGTGAGATTGGTTTTCCTCTGGTCACACCCAATGCCCCACAGAAGCCCACGGGCTGCTTTGTCTTTTCAGGAGGCCAGGTGAGAAAGAGGGCAGAGGAGGAAGCTGGGGCCCAACCTAGGGCGGCCTGGGTGTGGCACACCCTGGAGAGACAGGCAGCAGTGGCTGGGGTCTGGGAGGCAGGATGGAGCCGGCTGCTGGCTGACAAGTGCTCTATTCCCCTCCACCCACCTCCATTAGGTCACCAGACAGACCCTCCCTCTCCAAACCAGCAGCCGGGTGGCATGATGGGGCACAGCTTTCTCCAAAGCTGGAGGGGTCACCAGGGTATATGATGGACCATTCTCCCCTCCCACTCCCCACCCCAGGCCAGGCTTCATCCCAGTTTTCCCTGTCTCTTTACCCTCCTTCACCTGCAAACCAGATTCCCCTCCTGTCCTTCTTCTGCCCTACTTAAAAACAACAGGCTCCCAGCTCAGCTAAGAAGTTGGGGAACAGGAACTGGACCCCCCTCCCAACACACAACCCACTCTTTCCAGCCCATGAGCATAAGTACATGGGAAGCAGGCTGGGCCAGAGCAGTCTGTGGCCCCTGAACTCCTGCATGAACTTGGACAGGGGACTTCACATCTCTGAGCCTCAGTTTTCTCATCTGTAAACTGGGCGTGATAACCAGAGCTACGCCTCTCTGGATGCTGAGGAGTACAGCCCGTCACAGACAGACCCTCCCTCTCCCAACCAGCAGCCGGGTGGCATGATGGGGCACAGCTTTCTCCAAAGCTGGAGGGGCCACCAGGGTATATGATGGACCATTCTCCCCTCCCAGTCCCCACCCCAGGCCAGGCTTCATCCCAGTTTTCCCTGTCTCTTTACCCTCCTCCGCCTGCAAACCAGATTCCCCTCCTGTCCTTCTTCTGCCCTACTTAAAAACGACAGGCTCCCAGCTCAGCTAAGAAGTTGGGGAACAGGAACTGGACCCCCCTCCCAACACACAACCCACTCTTTCCAGCCCATGAGCATAAGTACATGGGAAGCAGGCTGGGCCAGAGCAGTCTGTGGCCCCTGAACTTCTGCATGAACTTGGACAGGGGACTTCACATCTCTGAGCCTCAGTTTTCTCATCTGTAAACTGGGCGTGATAACCAGAGCTACGCCTCTCTGGATGCTGCAGGGAGGCACATAGAGAACACGTGGCACAGGTGCCTCGACAGCAGTTGCTGCATACTGTTACATATCCGCACACTGGCACTCTTTCCGTGAGTTACTTCCTTAACTCCGGACAAGCCTGCGTGGTAGATGCCGTTATTGTCCTTGTTTTATAAGCGAGTCCCCTGAGACACAGTGTGTGGAAACAACTACCCCAATTCACAGAGCTAAAAAGTAGTCCGTGCTCATTGGCTTTTACTGTTGTCACCTGCCACACACAGCAGCCTGTGGAAGCAGGTGTTGACTCCACTTAACCAATGTGACAACAGAGACCTGGAGAGCTGAGAACTTGTGCAAAGCCACCCAAGAAGTGACGGGCCAAACAGGATGAACTCAGCTGTGTCTGACTCTGGTCCTGGCCTCCTTCTTCAACCCCTGCTGCTTTCTGGGGTTTCTGAAAGGCTCTGCAACTAAGACTGGTGTCCAGGAGGGGTGAGTGACCAGAGGGCAGCCAGGCCTCCTCCAGGGATGCTGACCCCCCCCCCCCAAGACACCAGAGCCCAGAAAATGCAAGGCTTTGAGCACCCCCCAGTGGCCAGAGGTGAGTAGTGTTTGTGGTCAGAAGCTGGATCTTCTACGGCTGTGGCTAAGATGGGGGCCGGGACCCCTCTCAGGGAGGAAGCACCCTGATGATACCCCGATAACTGGGAAATGGGGGCTCCACCCCGTGGTCACAGCAGGGATGGCCCCCAGAGCCCTTGCACCTCTACCCTGGACTACAGCATCCATCATCATGGCTGTCTGGGGAATGGGCTATGGCCTGAAGTCTCTGAGGGTCACCTGTGCGCTGCCCACTCCTCCCCCATTTGCTGAGAGTCTCCAGATATCCTCTGAGAAGTCCTGACTCCAGGGCAGAATGATAAACTGCACTGCAATTTAATAATGTTGATGCTGCTATATCAGAAGGGACACAGGACAGGAATCCACGAGTCACTATACTCCAGGCCAGGTTTTGTGTGAATGACCACATCTAACCTTCACAACCGTTCTGCAGCATGGGGCTGTCTGCACCCCCAGTTCACAAGTGAGTAAACTGAGGCTCAGAGAGGCAAAACAACAGGCCCAAACCCTCACGGCTGGGACTCCATCCCAGGCAGCCCACCCCTTTCCCATTACATCATCTGCCTCCTCGAGGGGATGACCATGACCCACCTCCCCACTGTCCAAGCAGGGACATTCCTGCACCCCAACCCAAGGCCTGGCAATGCTCCTATGTCTGCTCAGATGCAGGAGAGGTGCCAGGTAGCTCTGCTCAAACACAGGACCGGACAACATGTGGGCAGGGACAGCGGCCGCCTGGCTCAGCTCTGGGTCCCAGAACCCTGCACAGTGCCTGGCACTCCGTGGGCACTCAATACATACTTGGTGAGAGAATGAATGAATGAATGCAGATAAGCAGAGACTCCTGGGAGCAGCAGAGTGACTGCCATGGCCACACTGCTCCTGGCCTCAGTTTCCCCTTCTGTTGCTGGAAGCTGGACTCTGAGGCTTCCCCAGCTCTGACAATCTGTGAATGACTTCACGTGGCCTGGTCAGCTTAGAGTCCTCACAGGCCCACTCCAGGTTACTATTCCACAGGTTCTCCAGGACTAATATGTATGGTCCTACCAGGAACACCAGCTT